AAGTTCACATTATTTTATGCTAGGATCGAGGTGATATAAAGATGAAGTATTCCACGTAATTTATTTTTCTAACATTTTCAATTGTTTATTTTTTTATTCCCTCCTCCGAATATTAAAAAAAATGTTTTATCAAAATTACTCGTAAGCAAATCGAGTTATGAAAACATCATTCATTAATGGTTTAAGATATTTAATTATAGAAGGAGATTTATATCCAACATATATTCTTAATCTCCTCTAAGGATCTATTTAGTTTGGAGGAGTAATTGAAACATATACTACACAAAAAAATCCTTAAATGAGAAATACTAGGTTCATGACTAGAAACTAATTGAAAGGGAGAGAATTTATGATATATTATGGCTTGATGTGAATAAGTGTTACTTGCATGTAAAATTGGATATCCCTAAAAAATAAATGAAGTTTTGTTTTCATAAGTAATGATCTAGCTATCAATTGTAGGCTTTTGATAAATGATGCTTGCTAAACCATTATAAGTATGAACAAGAGCGACAAGCTACTCAATATTTATTCCAATAGACATGCATTAATCATTAAATGTTTTAGAAGTAAATTCACCGAGTATTATCAACATAAATTATTTTAATGATATAATCTAAAATTATGCTCGTAATCGAATCATTTGATCAAGTAACCTAAAAAATGCCAAGTTTTGAGTTGATAATAAGCATACAAGTAACCATCTTGTAGATGCATATATTAAAACTATAAAATATCTAAATGGTCCATATGATTGATGAATTGGTTCATATATATTACCTTTAATACATTCCAAAAATGCTTGCAGAGTCAATCTCAATTTTATTTGGTGATGGCTTAAAAATAAGTTTACTTTGAGAACATGCAAGATATGAAAACTCATTAGATTAAAGAATCTTCGATTCTTCGATAGATGTGCATATGAATTTTCAATAATTTTTCATATCATAATGAATCTAGGATAGCCCAATCGGTCATGCCATAAAATAAAAGAATTAGTAAATTGTTGGTTTGGTGTGACATTTGTTTCAATCATTTGAATGTTTGTGTAATAAATGTCGAAGAGAAAGCAATTAACGTTTTCAATATATATTTTCAAACTGATGTAATTTTTATAATATATAAGTATTCAATATTCCTAACATTGGTTGTCTCGATATGATATCCATTTAAGCGAATATCTTTGAAGCTCAATAAATTTTTATAGGACTCGGGAGAGAATAATGCATTATTTATAATCAAATTTGTCCCCTAGGCAATAATATATTTGCTCTTTCGAGCCTTCAATTAAATTGATACTACCAAATATATAATATTAGCATTAGCCTTATCCATCATTAAATTGGAGAAATACCTTTTATTTTTAAGTATAGTCTACAAGGCACAGATTCTCCTCTATAATGTTCAAACCCAATTATGAACTTATTAGTATCCATATATTCTTCATAAACAAAAAAAAAAAAAAATGATTTCTAAAAAAAAATTATAACTATCACAATGCAATAAAAATTATAAGAAAATATAAAACTTCTTTATTTATCAATAGAAAAGGTAACAAGATATTAATTTCAATGATTATCATTAATCTAATGATCTTTTCTTTCGAATCTTTGAAAAAATAAGCAATATCTAAATATGTCAAATTACCGAAACCTTCAAGAGGAATATTATCACAATTATTATTTTGATATATAAAATTTTCTTATATATTACTTTCTTTCTTTTCCAACGAAACTTGATAAAACTCAACGAGGTGCTTTGGTGTATGACAGGTATGCGAGCAATGTCCTTTCATACCACATCTCTAATATTCATTTTCAAAATATTAACTTGATCTACTTTTTTTTTTTTCATAATTTATCCACTTCGATGGTGAGGTATATTATTATGACCACTATAATTATAACGATAAATATTCTAACCATAATTATAGATATTACCATGACCATGTCCACGTCCATAGCCACGACCACGTCCTCGTCCATGTCCAAAATTATTATAAGATGTCACATTCACTTTAGGAAATGAAGTAGACCTAGTTAGATGAGATTCATGATTTTTCATTAGTAACTCATTATTTTGTTTAGTCATAAGTAGGCATGAAATCAATTCATAGTATTTCTTAAAACTTTTTTCTCAATATTGTTGTTGTGAAGCATATTCAAGGCATAAAAAGTAAAAAATATTTTACGTAACATATCTAAATCAATAATATTTTTTCCACACGGTTTTAGTTAGGAACTGATTTTAAATACTATAGAATTATACTCATTTACTTGTTTTGAAATCTTATAATCTTAAGTGCATCCAATCATAATAAGCTTTTAAAAGAACTACTATCTTTTAGTGGTTGTACCTTTTCTCTAAATTTTTTCACAATTCAAGTAGATCCTTTCTTCGTTAAATATTCAATTTTCAAATCTTCATAGAGATGATGAATGAGGAAGATCATTACCTTAGCATGATTTTGTAAGGGTTCTTGATTATTATCCATGATTGTTTTTCTAAGACCATTAGCATTTAAATATATCTCAGCATCAATCACTCATGATAAATAATTCTTGCTCAAAATGTCAAGGGCCACAACATTAACTTTATGAGATTTGACATGATAACAATTCTATAATACAAGATATAATAATATTGTTAGAAAATAATAACAAATATAATAATAAAATTCAAACTTTTCAAACAACATACATTAGATCATTCAAGTTTTTAAAATATATACTATATGTATCATTAGATTTAAAGTAAAAGAAAGATTAGATACATATCTCTTAATAGTCTAGATGATTTGCGTCTTTTAGTAGAGCAATCGTGTCGATAACGTATTATAAAATAAATAGCAACAATAGTAGAATTGAAGAGAAAGATGATAGGAAAAATCAATTCACTATAAAATAAAGTAAATACAAGTTACAAAAACATCAAATTAGTCTCTCAATTTTTACAAAATACTTGTACACAAACTAATGAACAATCAAGTCTATTTATAAACTTTAAAATTACGAAGAGTATTGAAAGGGACTATAAATAATTAAAAGTATATAAATCATTGAATCAATTGCATCACCTTTTTAATTTCTCATATTGAATGTTAAATTGAATCACATTAAGAATTATAGGTATTAGAAATATGATAAGCATATGAACATTCATCATTTTGTAACAATAGTTGTATTGATAGTTATCTTTTGGAATCATTTTTAAATCTCTGTAATTTACTAGTAGTTTTGATTTAGAAAAAAGTTTTTGATTTTGATGAGTTATAAGGGCTCTATTTGCTAGTCTCATAGATAATTTTACCACCCTCTCGTTTGCTAACCATGTGTTATGGCTCAAATTTATAGTCAATTCAAAGAAGAATGACGAACCTTTTTTTGCATAGGCACACTTCGTGATAATGAGAATTCTTTTACAAGTACGAATTAGAGATTTTTAGATTTTGCATCTCATTAAACTGTGAATTTTTAGAATAAGCTAATCCCTCCCTCCCTTCCTTCTCCCTCTCTCCCTTCCTTCCCTCTCTCCTCCTCCGCCCTCCTCCCTCCTTCCCTTCTACCCCCTTCTCTCTTTCTCTCCTACATCTCCCTTTCTCCCTTTCCCTCACCCACTCTCTCTCCTTACTTCCTTCCCTCTCTATATTCCTCTCTCTCCCTCACCTTCTTTCTCTCGTTCCTTTCCCTCTCCCTCTCATTACTTCTTCATCTCCATCCGCCTCCCCTTTTGCCTCCTTCCTCCCTCCCTCTCACTCTGTCTCCCCTTCTCTCTCTCTTCTTGGATCTTTGTTTTTGTTTTTTTATTGTTTTGTTTTGTTTTTTTCAGATTCATTTAGGAATTTAAGATGAAGAGGAGCACAAATACAAATCTAATAGAATTGATAAAGGTGAAGAAGAGTACGACTCTTCACATCAATAGCATAAATGCAAGTGAAGTCACAAAAAATTGGGTCTAATAGTTCAGCCCGTTTCCCATTGAATTGTGGTACTTTGTTATTTTTGAACTTATAGGATATTATGAAAAGCTTGAAAAGAAGAAGTTAATTGAAAGTTCACGAAATAGAAAGAATGAAATGCTACTCAAAGATCAATGTATAGTGTTCGATATACAAAGTGTTTTTTTTTCTAATACAACTAGGTTCAAATTTTATATTTATCATAATCATACATGTCTTGTGAAAATCATTATGTATGTTTAAATATTAATGACATTATATTTTTTTAATAAAAACCAATAAAATGTTGAAATATAATTCAAATTTATGTTCATAATTTTGTTTTAATTAATTTAATTTTAACTTATTTATACAAAATTATTTATATTTTAAAAACTAAATCTACTATAATTATCGTTTAAAATTATTTATTTAAAATTAATTTTAAAAAAATATTAAGAATTTTAATTTAAAAATTATTATAAAAATTGAATAATACACATAAAAAGAAAGAATTTAGTAATAAACTAGTCATATAAAAGGTGCAAGTTGAATCTATAAAAAAAAAAAAAAACAAGAGAAGAAAAGGTCCAATTTGAGTTTAAAAGAGGGAAAAAAAAAAAAAAAAGGTACGAGTTGTAAATGGCAATGCTTAAATTAAGAAGTCATCTTGTCGTTTAGATCCAAACTGCTTAAAAAGGCATTAGACGCACATGTAGGGCGCGTGGGGAAGGGTTTCTGTAATGAAAATATCTAACCATTAGGGGACCATGACGTGTAGCATAAGATGATAAAAGCGGTGTATGAGTGGGTCCCATCTCGTGAACCAAGAAATATCACAGCCATTAGGATCTCTGCCCTCCCACCATAGCTCATGTTACAGTACATACATCCATTTATATATTAACGGTGGTGTCTCCCCACTTGTCAAACAAACGCCAATGTCATCCCCATCGAAATAGTTTTGCACATTTTGGCATCTCATCCTCTCTTGTATTTGAGAAGAAAGACGAAAACATTTTAGAGAGGAAATTGAGAGAATATATAGTTAGATTTATATGGGATGGAGTCTCAAAACAACAACATCACAGCACCCTTTGTTTTGAAGACTTATCAGATGGTCAGTGATCCAGTTACGGATACTCTAATTAGCTGGGGCAAAACCAACAACAGTTTCATCGTCATCGACCCTTTAGATTTCTCTCAGAGGATTTTGCCTGCGTACTTCAAACACAACAACTTCTCTAGCTTTGTTCGACAATTAAACACCTATGTGAGTAGTAATCGAAACCAAATATATCTTGCTTTAATTATATATATAGAGTAGTACTGTTATTAATCAATTAATTAATATTATTACATGCATTTCTTATCAGGGTTTTAGAAAAGTCGATCCAGATAGATGGGAATTTGCAAACGAGTGGTTTCTTAGAGGGCAAAAGCAGTTGCTGAAGAATATAGTTCGCAGGAAGCATAGTAATAAAGGGTCATCATATCAACAAGTAAACATAAAAGGTGAAGATTTTGATGATGAAGATATAGTTATGGAGATAGAAAGGTTGAAGCAAGAACAGAAGGTCTTAGAGCAAGAACTTGCAGGCATGAACAAGCGTTTAGAGGCAACAGAAAGACGTCCACAACAAATGATGGCTTTTCTTTACAAAGTTGTTGAAGATCCTGATCTACTTCCTCGTATGGTTCTTGAAAAAGAACGTACAGGGCAGATAAAAGACAAGAAACAGCGTTTAATGATATCTTCTTCGTCTACATCATCCTCTGGCATGGCAGTTTCAAGCACTTCACCAACGATAAAGTCTGAAGAGGATCAGGAAGAAGGTTCTACAGGGGTAATATCTTCACCAGAAACTGCTTTTGATGTAGATAAATTTTGTCAATCATCACCCTCACCTCATGAGTCAAATCTTAATCCTATAGGATGGTTAGGTCAAGTGAACTACGGTTGTGCCATGGCAGGGCCTAGTCCATTAACTACAGTTTCAATGGGTGCAGGGATTGGGAGTACGGTGGCCGTGTTGCCGCAAGGGAATAGTGTGACAGGATATGGTGGTGATTGGGGTGGCCACATGAACTATTTGGGAGAATTGGCGGCGGGGGTGGAGGATAGGCCACCACCGCCTTATCCGTTTTCTCTTTTGGGAAGTGGCTTTTAGCTGCTATTCACAAGATTTATGTTGGATTAATCTATCTTTTGTATTAACTTTTGCGTTTTAGGTATATTGTTTTTTTCCTTCTTTTCATTTTTGTAAATGAAAAAAAAGTTATTTAAATTATCCATTGGTAATCTAAAACAGAAACATTTATAGATAGATATGAAAAAGGATTAAATTTTGTTTTTGTTGGTATATAGTCTGCTATAGGAAGAGTATCAATAAACTTTTTTGAGATATAGATCTATACTTTTTATCAGTTGTTCACCTAAAGAATAAACAAAATGTTGGTCAGAAAATCACTCTCTCACTACTAGTAGAAACAGACAACTCATCCATATAGACAGCAAAAGGATAGTGCAAGCCATTATATATAATTCTCTTTTTCTTCTTGTTTTTACCTATAGCTCTATAAATATTTAACTATAATTTTGTTTCAATTTTATTTTCCAATTTTATTTACAATTTCAACTTATATAAATATTTTCATTTTCATAATGAAGCCATCACATGTTTTTTTTTTCCCTTGTTTAATAGCTGAGGGTTGGTGTATTCTGACTTTGGATTAAACATAGATGAGCAACTAGAAAATTGGAGTATTCTGACATAGATTTTTGCTTGTTTAATATTTTTCTTTATTCTTTTTTTGGTAATCTTCTTGGTTGCAAATGTATTTGCACTGTTATAGAGGTTCATAAATCAAATTTCGCTCGCCCTTGATAAAGGTTGTATGCAAAAATGTTTACGTTTTCAATGCCAGACAATAACCCTCAAAATTTAGAAATCACAGCGTTTTTATTTTTCTCTTTTATTTTTTTTCAAAAAAAAAAGAAATTGCTTTCAACAATTTTATGAAAATAAGTCCTAATTATAGTTTAATCAAAACATTACATCACCTTATGAAAAATAAAATTAAAGCTTCTAGTCTGAAAAATGCATTTCTTATTGATATGCAAAATCGGGTTAAGAATAGTCTGAAGAGGAAAAAAAAATGAAAAAGGAAAAAGGAAAAACTAGGACATAATACAGTTAGGTGTTCTGTGTGCAGGGCTCCAAGCGGTTAAGTTCGCTAAAAGTCACGGTCGTACCATACTGCTATGCTTTCCATAGCCCAATTACACTGTGCCACGTGGTAGTTCGGGGGTCAAGTCTGCCTTAACCATTAAGAAAGTACTGTGACAAGTCCTGCTGCTATTGGCAATGTTGAGCTTTGGCAACGAAAGTCAAATGGAGAGAAGCCCTTTTTAATTTGACTCATGGGGGCGTGGTGGCTCTTTGGAGCTGGCAGAGACGGCTCCAAAACTTACACGGTTGCAAGCCCACGCTTGTTAATATGGTAGGCCCTTTAATTTTCTGTACCATTGCCCTACCTGAGATGGCACATTTTGTTTCCTTGTCTGCCTTTGCTATCCGTTCTTCCACTCCCTCACCACTACATGAAAACAGTGTACTCACATGCTTATCTCGTGGCACTTGATTGGCGGTAATATTTATTCGTTTTATCCTGAAGGTATCTTTAGACCCCCTTTGTCTTAGAACCCTAAATAACTGTAGGGGTTAAAAGAAAGGGGAAAAAAAAAATCTCTAATTAACAAAAACAATTAAAAAAAGATGGGAGTAAGTGAATGGTAATTATGGTTTATTTGCTCACAAATTACTATTGACCATATGTCAATTTTGATAATTTTTTATTGTGACATTTTCGTGGTTTTTGGCTGCTTTTGGACATTTATGAGCAAATTTTAAATTGTATTCTACTTTGGCCTCTAATGTTTCCAAAAAAATATTTTTAATTCCTTGAAAAGGGAGGAAAGAGAAAATTAGAGAGAAAAACGAGGAGAAAAAAGCTACTATCAAACCAAATTCCAATCATTTTACTATTGATCTTACATTCAAATTTTATATTTGCAAAGAAAATGTATTTATCATCGTTTTAAGTTATAAAATAATTAAAAAAAGATATTACGAAGCTTATAAAATTTTAATTTTTCGGTTTGATTTTTTCTTTTAAAGTACATTGAAATGATTTTTAGAGTTCCAAATGGCAATATTGACTTTATTTTAATAATTTTGAGTTGATTTAAAATAAAAATTATGTCGAAATAGGTTTTTGAAGCCTAAAAATAGATCTTTGATTTTCTACCAACATCCAGCAAATAAGAGTTCGTCGAAAGTTGCAAATTAGCAATATGTTCCTGTGCTATGCAATTTTTTTTTATTTCTGGCTTTTTAAAAGCCCTCCAGGTCTCTAGAAGCAATCCTAGGAGGGTAAGCTTGCCTTGGGTTTGCTTATGCATACTCAAGCAAGCATTTTTTTTTTTATCCAATAATTTATATTCTTTTTTTAAAAAAATTATTGAATTAGATGAGAAAATCATGAAAAATCATTTTTTTTCACATATATTGGCAATTGTGAAATATATATGATATATTTTCATATTGAAATTATATTACTCTTATTATTTAAAATTAATCTCTTTAATTTTTTATTTTTACGAAAATTCTCATCAAATTAAGTTTTTATTCTTTTATATGTAATTTTATTTGTTAACAAATATAATTTATTTTCTCTATGTATTAATTTTCAAATAATTTTTTAAATAAATAATCAATTCAAAAATAAAATTTATGTGTTTTGTTTTTTATTTTTATATAATCAAATTTTATCTAAATTAAATTTATATTTTTTTATTGTACTTTATTAACTTCAATATATTCCTTACAACTTAAGTTTTTTTTTTAAATAGATTTATACTATATACTCTAGTCCACTAAATATGGTTATGGTGTATAAAAAAATTTTAATAATTGATTTTATTGAAAATTAACTATACATCCGTGCATATAATACCAATCATTTGCTATTAATTTTTTTTATTGTTCTGAAATTATTTTTTTCAAATAAAATAATTGATATAATGTTTTAGAAGAATCACCTAATAATTTAATTATATTTTTATACTAATATTTTTTTATTATTTTATAAATAAATATATAAATAAAATGCATAGATTTTCAAAAAGTTAAAGAAGATGAGTTTGTTAATTTCTATGCAAGTTTTTATGTTGATTGTTACTTTATTTTTTTCGTGCAATCGTAAGAAAAAAAATATCAAAACATTCTTTTAAATTTTATATTTAGATTATTATAGGTTTTTATTTAATAATGAATGCATAACTTCAATATTTAGATTATTACATTTTTTTATTTTTATTCTTTATATAATGAAATTTTATCAAAATTAAATTTGTAATTGTTTTTATTACTCTTTATTAACTTTGATATATTCCTTGTAACTTAATTTTTGTTTTTAAAAAATTTAGATTTATGTTGCTCACTCTAACCCACAAAATATTTTCATGATGTATACAAAAATTATTTGAATTATTGCTTTTATTGGAAATTAACTATGGATCTTTACGTATAACATCAACCATTGGCTATTAATTTTTTTTAATGTTCTAAAATTATTTTTTAAAATAAAATAATTGAAATAATGTTTCGGGAGAACCACCTAATGATACAAATGTATATTTTTACACTAATATTATCGATTATTTTGTAAATAAAAATATATAAATCAAATGCATATATTTTTAAAAAATTTAAAAAATTATTTTTTATTTTTTTAAAAAAAATTTTACATTGTTTATTGCTTTTTTTTATGCAATCTATTAAAAAAAAAATGTAAACATTCTTTTAAACTTTTTACTTAGATTATTATTATTTTTTATTTAAGAATGAATGCATAACAAAGAACAAATTATTTTTTTAACTACTAAATTTATGAAAAACATTAAAAAAATAAATAAAATATAAAATTTTGATTAAAAATTATAAAATTATGTTTACTTTTAATTTAATATATTTTTTATATCATTAACACAATACGGACCATCTAATTGATATAAAAATGTTTAATTCAGTATGTTGCATAAGGAAAAAAAAAAACTAATTATCTGTTAACAAAATTTAAACTTATATCTGATTATTTTATTTATTGAAATGATTGTAATGGAAGTAAATTATCTTCATTGTACAATCTAAAAATCACAGGATTCTTGATTTGAAAAAAAAAAAGGAAAAAAAGTTTCCTGACATGGAAGGAAATAGTAATAATCAACACATAAACCAATTATGAATGATGGGCTAGCAGTTATCTAAAAGATTACAGTAAGAAGTCAAAACCAATGATACTGATCCAATAAGAATAAAAAAGTGATAAGCCTTTTAGGACTTTTTATTTGCTGGGTCATTATTGAGAATGACGAGTGATTAACGTGAAGAGTAGATCATGTGGGACCGAAGTGACCAAATCCCATTTTTAGAAGTTTACCCAGATGCGTGTCGCACGAGAGACTGACTCCAAAGAGAGTGGGACCCATTGTAACTTGACAATAATAGAAAGGAAAATTGTGGGCCCCCACAGTCCTCCTCATTGTGTGGGGCAATGTAAAGGCAGCATCTCTCTCTCTATCTTTTGTCCTTTCACACTTAAGTGGGGACCTGTCCTCGTGCTATGCGTCCACGTGGGGAGTGTAAGAGTAGAGAGAGGCACGTGTTAGCATTCCAATGAATCACCTATATATATATATATATTTTATAAAAAAAATGCACTCACATGATCATTAACAGAGATGATACCCATTTGTTGGATTTCGAGTAACCATATACTATCTGCTATTTACAGGATGAGTAAATTACAAATATTATATATATATATATATAAATATGATGTGTGTAGATACACTGACATATAGAGTATATATATATATTAAATATGAGTTTGAGACGCTTACTCAGAGCTCTCAAGCTCAGTTTAATATATGTAACTCTAGTCAGTATTCTCGCACTCAATTTAATATCATGGATATATATGTATATATGATATATATATATATATATATATATATATAATTTAAAATAATAACAATGGATTAAAAAAAAACTATATTCTCTCAAAGAATTATTTTAATTTAATTTTTTTTAAATTAGGTTAAATT